GGTTCTCATGTTTTGGTGATCACAAGAAAAGCAAGAAAACAGAAAGTTTGGCAAGAACAATATATAAGAACTTTGTCTTCTTAAAGCAAGCAGCAAGTGATTAAGACGCATGGGAGGGCCGGTTGCAAGAAAGAAAAGCAAGATAGCAAGCAAGAGGTTTGTAGCAAGTAGCAAACCAGAAGTCTGTAGCAAGTAGCAGCCAACAAACATAAGAAAGAAAGCAAGAAAGCAAGCAGCAAGATAAAGCAAGCAGGAAGATGAATCATGTTGGCAAAGAAAAATGCATGAGACAACAAGAAGTTAGAAAGATTATAGCAAGAGAAGCAAGGTCAAGAACATCAAGATTAGGGGGTGATTGTTGGATATAATCTTGATGTGGAAGATTGAGTTTAATAAAAAAAGAATGGGTCATAGCTTTATTGACCGATATGCATGGGAATTACGGAGATTATTCAGATTTTGTATACCCACGTTTCTGGTAGGATATGAACCTATTTTGTAGGTACAATAGTTTATAAATAGGTTAGGTTGTCATTTGTTTTAGTGTGTAATCTGTTTTTCTTTTGAAAGTAATATACCAGTGAGAAGAAGTCCATATTTCCTGGTTGTTTTGTAAGTCACATAAGAGTCGATAGTTGCAGGTGGGTTAAAAGAAGGGTTGATTACCAACAATTCTCTCCTTCTTATTCTTTGCAACCGACGGCTGCACCTAACACCACCGACCACCTCTTTTCTCCCCTATTCTTTCTGTTTCCTACTTACCTTGATCATCACGAGCAATCAAACGCCATACGGTATCACAAACATCAAGGCCTATGTCCCATTAATCCTTGATCTCAACGAACTCAACTATGACTCTTGGCGGGAGGTATTCCAAACTCACCGTCCTGGATTTGGAGTTCTAAAGCATATCATAGGAGAATCTAAACCCCAACATGCTAAAGATGTGGATTTATGGCACTATGTCCCAACCACTCATGAACATGATCCTCAAATCTGACGCCACGACCCACTCTGTTTGGACTAGCCTTGAAGGTCTCTTTCGTGATAATAAAGATGCCTACACTATCAAGCTTGACAGTGAACTTCACAACATGTCCATTGGTGATCTCACCATCTCAAAATATTGTCAATGAATGAAGGGCATCTCTGATTTACTCGCAAATCTAGACTCACCTGTCCTGGAGAAAAACATACCTCATCAATAGCCTTTCACCAACGTATGAAAATATCGCTACCCTTCTTTGTCACATAGACCCTCTCCCAACGTTTCTGCAAGCTAGATCCATGCTTACGGTTGAAGAACTTCGCCTCAACCGCGTGTGTCTGTTTCAACCTATTCATATGGACCACACTTCGGCTCCCACCATGCTTCAAAATACAGCCACCAATAAACCACCTCATCGCCACCAGCAAAACAACCACCGTGGTGGTGGCCGCCAGCAGCAACAACGCCGTGACAGCTACCGTCCTGCTGCACCTTCTCCTGCTGGTAATCCTCCTGCATCGCTGCCTTGGCAGCCCTTTGGCTGGCCCATTCAAGCTCCCTGGTCCAATTATCACCAACCCAACGTAACTCAACAGCAACAACAACATCAACACCGATCCATAGCTCCTACACATGCCTTCGGCATTCTCGACCCACCTCTTCAACAACCTCCAGAGGTCCAACAGATCCCCTCGGACCAGACAAATGCAACCTACAACACCTCCCCGGGCTTGAATCCTCCTTGGCAGTGATTCCCTCTTATGTAAACTGATCAAGCCACTGATATTGCACAAACTTATAATTCCATGACTCTCAATGATGCAAATTGGTACATGGATACCAGGGCAACCTCTCAGCTTGCCTCCAACACAGGTAAACTCGATTCTTTTAGTCATAAGATCCATTTTAATTCAGTCTTTGTTGGCAATGGTCGATCAATACTTGTTTCTCACACCGGACATACCCGTCTTCATACTCATCTCCGACCCTTACACCTTCATAATGTTCTTGTCACACCTAATTAATTAAAAATCTAATATATGTGAGAAAATTCACTACTAACAACCAAGTTATTATTGAATTTGACCTTTTGGTTTCTCTGTGAATGATATCCACACTCGTTAGATTCTGCTTAGGTGTGAAAGCTCCGGGGGACCTCTATCCCACCATTCCAACAACTCACCCTCCCGTTGCTCTACTATCCCGTGGTTCAAGTCTTTGGCACCAACGCCTTGGTCACTTGGGGTCTCATGTTCTTAATTTCTTATCTTCCAATAAGTTTATCAAATGTAATAAAGACAACCATTCTCATGTTTGCCATGCATGTCAATTAGGAAAAACAAACAGATTACCTTTTTCTAGTTCTACAACTACTGTTTCTAATATGTTTGACATTGTTCACTTTGATTTATGGCAATCTCCCATTATTAGTACCAGTGGTATTCAATACTATATATTGTTTCTTGATCATTTTTCTCACTTCCTTTGGGTGTATCCCTTACGCTACAAATCAGATGTTTTTACCAAATTTCTCCAATTTCGTGCATTTGTTCAAAACCAATTCACTGACATTAAAATGTTCCAATGTGACCGCGGGGGCGAATTTGACAATCATCAATTTCATAATCTATTTTATCAAAACGACATCAAATTCCGTTTCTCTTGCCTCCACACTTCCCAACAAAACGGAAAATCTGAACGAATGATCTGAACCATTAACAATGTCATTCAGACTCTTCTCTTCCAAGCTCATCTCCCCCCCACTTTTTGGGTTGAAGCTTTACATATGGCTACTCATCTTCTCAACATAACCCCCACTACTTCCATTAAAAATGAAATACCCTTTACAAAGCTCTACCAAAAACAACCCATCTTTACCCACTTACGTGTGTTTGGATGCCTATGTTATCCTCTTTTACCCACTCCTCACAAACTTGCCCCTTGATCCACACCATGTGTTTTTCTTAGGTATCCTTCCAACCATCGATGCTTTGACCTCAACACACGTAAAATCATCATCTCCCTTCATGTGTACTTTGATGAAACCACCTTCCCCTTCCGCTCCATGACACCCACTCAATCTCCATCATACTCATACTTGATAACTGCATAACCGACACTCCCATCTCTAGAAACCTCCTTCAAACTCCAATCCCCACCATAGCACCACTCATCTTCCTCAAACCGAGGACTCCCAACGTCGTTTTTTTCCGATTTTCGATATAGTTTAAGTGTTCGCTCGAGACCTCCCGCATAAACTGCGGGGGCATATTAGTGTATATATTGTACATCTTAGTTAGCTCGTATGTATAGCCCAATGTACAACCCCTTATAGCCCTTATGTATTGTGTATATATGTGAGTTTAATGCAAGATATTGATTCATGGGAAAATAATACCAAACATGTAGATGGTGTCACTAAAAGTAATAATTTAAAGCTTGATGTTGAATTGTTAAACTTCGAATGCTTATAAACCGAGTCTTTTGTCACTCAATGGTCCATATTCATACACATGTCCCTAAATATTTCGTATGGATTTATTTAGCGTTAGCAACCCTTCTGCAAACATGTACACGCCATTTGACGATCGATACCTTTACGAACGTTCATAGTTATGAAATAATAAACACAACCTGGTAAATTCCAACACATATGAATTTAAGTTGATCTTTACACACTAAAATGCTTTCATGAATGATGAATCAAATATAAATTAATATGGTTTACACTATGAATATATATGAGGCGTTCCATTTCGTAACTAATAAACATATCTAATATTTGAATAAACTTATCAATTATGTAGGAAAAACTGAAATCATTATTGTTGGAATATCACAATTAAAGAAGTCATGATTCCTATACCGTTTTCTATTAGGTATATAACCTTTGAATGTCTTATCTTTGCCAAATTGCTTTCTGGTACTTTTTATCCAACAAAATCTATTATCAAAAACCACTTCCAATAATTATACTTTTCCAAGTTCTTTGTAATTATCAGAAAAGAAAGTTGAGTTTGAATTTTTATTTTCAATTTTCAATTTTCAATGAAAATTTTAGAAAAAATGTTTAGTTGAAATCGGTAGAGTTTTCATTTTCTATTTTAATTTTTTTTTAAACTATAAAGATCACGATTTTAATTTACATAACAATTTGAAAAAAAAAATTATTTTTTTGAAAATCTAAACCAACAAAACACGTTTTCAAAATTTTCATGTAAAAATAATTTTTTTTCCACAATCAAACAAATTCTTAATGGTAGATCGGAAACCGATCAATACGTAAAACTCATGACATAACCATGATGTTAGACACTTGGGTCATTACCGGGCTTCAAAACTGAAATTTTCATTTTTTTTATTTTTAGAAAAGTATTTTGTGGACATCCTGGATAGTACAACTGTACAAAGATGAAAAAATTGTTTATGATAACCTCTAAAACCTTTTATAAACAACAAATTAAGAAATAATTGATGAAAAAACAATATTTTTTACTATACAAAAATCGGTTTTTTATAGGTTTGAAAAACGATTTTATTTGTAGATCCTCAATCTGGTATAAACCGTCGTATCGCTTTCAAACCGGACCGATTTCAACCAATCCGGTTTCGGATGGTCCAGTTCTTTTGAATGTAATATTTGATACACTTTGCCATTTTATTTATTTATCAATATTGTTTATGATCATAAAATTTGATGATGTCGATTTAATCAACATTTTTTTCGGCTTAGGGTAAAACAAAATGAACAATGTACTCTTATTAATACGTTTAATACTTTTTTTCAGAACAGCAACATCATTTTAAAAAACCGAACCTCTAGCAAGGAGCTAGAGAAAAATACAAATTAAGGTCGGATTGGATTTTGTAACCACATCATCCAATTAACCCTAACCTTAGAATTCTGAAAAGAAAACCATCGAAAAGAAAGATCCACAACAGAATAAAAAAGTCTATCTTTTCTAAGTTTATTGCTACTAAAAAGTAAAGAATTACGAAATATCCAAAGCACTCATATGACCACCATGAATACCGACTCTACAATCGAGCGCTCCATATGAACCGTCAGTCTAGAATCCACCCAATCCACCATGTCACGGATAGAAGAAAAATCAGGAAGGTCCAGGTGAAGCCAATGCTCAACCCGATTCCAAACCTGATCGGCAACCGAACATTGCAACAACAAATGATTCACACTTTCATGAGAATTATGACACATGGGACACAATAAGGAATCTATCACCACCCCTCTTTCCACCAATTTAGCTCTAACCGGAATGCGATCCAAAAGCACACGCTATAAAAAAATGTTAATTTTAATAGGGACAAAACAGTTCCACCTAGTAGGCGTACTACCCACAGGGAGCGTCATATCATCAACCCAGTTCCTTGTTGATTTAACAGTAAATATACCTGACGAATCAAGCTGCCAAGACCACTTATCCGGAACCTCCCTATACGAATAAGATTTAAAATCTCCACAAGATCATCAAATTGGGTCAATTCAACCCCTCCTCTAATCCCCCGACGCCAATGGAAATTCCAACCCCCCGAAGACCAATAATCACTAACCCGAGCATCTTGATTAACGGCCAAAGCAAAGAGTCTCCCAAACTGCTCCCTAAGAGGAATGTTTGAGCACCAAACATCCTTCCAGAACCTCGTTTGAGCCCCATCCCCCACTACTCTATGCACGAAATTAGAAGGAATACAACCACTCTCATGAAGATGATTAATGGATCCTATAATCTTTTGCTAAACATGATGGGTTTTGAGCATTCTAACACTCCTATGTTGTACATGCAACCCTAGAAACCTTGGATCTATGTTTTCTCTAATATTCATGCAAATTTGAATTCCATGGTTCTCAACCTAACTAGCATGTTATGGGGTACTTGTATTATAAAACTTTAGTAGAATAACATACCTTTTCTTGTGGTTGATTGCTTGGAGTCTTGAGAGCCTAGCACCAATAATGTGGATGCCTCAAGTGGAATCACAAATCACCAAAACACCTTGGAAGACTTGAGAGAATAATATGCACAAAGTAGAAATCGGTCCACACTTTGAACTCACACACTAGTACCATTTCATGTGCCAAAGACCTCTTTATATAGTATGGAGGATTAGGGTTACATTCATGTAAACCCTAATACCCATGACCTTTAATTTCCATAGGATCCATGGGTTAAAAACTCCATGGACTATCCATGCAAGCTTAGCCCATCCTAAATGAACTTGGCCCATTCTATATATATAAGAGTCCATATTTAATTAGTTCCCTTTGATCACTAAATTAATTCTAAATTAATTTTTGATCAATACTAATTAAATAATATGATTTCATATTAATATATTATAACTTATATTATTCTCAAAAGATTATCCATATCAATTGTTTCGGTGAAGTGCAACCCAAATGGACCATGCCGAGTCGGGTCAAGTACATACCAAATATAGTTACGGACTTAGACACCTTATCCAACAGTCTCCCACTTGGATAAGTCTGATAACTATAGTATGACTTTAGGAACCGACCAACAATCGTAGTTCTTAAAACTCTGCTGAACTATGAAGTGCCATTTAAGATAAGTGATCATATAATCCTCTGTTCTGGAGATCAGCCGGACAAATACATGGAACAATGTCATACTTATTGTCCAGTAGTTAGTTTCCCGATTTCTGATTTGTTTGACATAGAACTAAACTGAACACATCAATTTGGTTCTGACCGGGCCCGGTACATAGGTCAAAACAAAATCATCGAGGGACCCAGATATCACTTTTAATCCTCCAAGGACTAAAAGGAACAGATAAACTTCGACTCATATGCTTGTTCTACTACTTGCTGAATCATACACAAATGCACGTTTTATAACATCAAGTTACTGATGCGTTTCCGTGCAATCAATGCACAACCAAATCATAGGCAACAACTCACATATCTAGGTTTGAAGACTTATATGATATTACCGTCTCACGATCACTCGAGATAAATTCCATGAAGTGAATGTTCTCACGCCTCGCATGCTGCAAATGCCTAACCCTGGCCAGTCCCTTCGTGAGGGGATCTGCTGGGTTCTCTTCTGACGATACCCTATTTGCCACAGGGAGTCCTTCTTCTATCTTGTGTCTTATGAAGTGATATTTCTTGTCAATGTGTCTGGATCTGCCATGATCTCTCGGTTCCTTGGCTAAGGCAACCGCACTATTGCTGTCACAAAAAATCTCCATAGGCTACTTTATAGCTGGTACAACTCCAAGGTCTCCGATGAAGTTCCTCATCTATATCGCCTACTTCGCCGCTTCACTCGCTGCTATGTACTCTGATTCACATGTCGAATCAGCTACTGTCTCCTGCTTGGAACTTTTCCAAGTAATTGCTCCTCCATTTAGGGTAAAGACCCAGCCCGACTGAGAGCGGAAATTATCCCTATCAGTCTGAAAGCTAGCGTCACTATACCCCACTACTCTCAAGTCATCACTCCCACCAAGGGTAAGGACCCAGTCCTTAGTCCTCCGCAGGTACTTGAGAATGTTCTTCAACACAGTCCAGTGAGCCTTGCCAGGATTCCCCTGATATCTGCTGACCATGCTCAAAGCAAAGGCTACATCAGGGCGGGTACAAGTCATAGCATACATGATCGAGCCAACAACGGAAGCATATGGTAGTCGACTCATCTTAGCTATCTCAGCCTCTGTACTCGGGCTCTGAGCCTTGCTCAGTTTGGCATTATGCTGGATCGGTAAGTCACCTTTCTTGGAATCTTGCATGTTGAACATTTTCAACACTTTGTCCACATAGGTGCTTTGACTAAGTCCAATTAGTCTCTTACTCCTTTCTCTCAATATCGTTATCCCTAGGATATAGGTAGCTTCTCCAAGGTCCTTCATAGCAAAACACTTCCCAAGCCAGAATTTAACCTCCTGCAAGGTTGGGATGTCATTTCCCATGAGTAGTATGTCATCCACATATAGTACCAAAAAGCTAACTATACTCCCACTAGCTCTGAAATATACACAGGAATCATCTTCGCTTCTCGAAAAACCAAACTCTTTGACTTTCTCATCAAAACAAAGATTCCAGCTACGAGATGCTTGTTTCAATCCATAAATGGATTTCTCAAGCTTGCACACTCTATTAGGGTACTCTGCACTGACAAAACCCTCTGGCTGACTCATGTAAACATCCTTAGCCAACTTTCCATTAAGGAAAACGGTTTTGACATCCATTTGCCATATTTCATAATCATGAAATGAAGCAATTGGTAGCATAATCCTAATGGACTTAATCTTTGCTACTGGCGAGAAGGGTTCATCATAGTCAACTCCCTGAGTTTGAGTGAAACCCTTCGCAACTAGTTGTGCCTTATAGGTGTGAACGTTTCCATCCATGTCGGTCTTCTTCTTGAAGATCCATTTGCACCCGACCGCCTTACGACCCGGTACATTGTCAACCAAGTTCCAAACTTGATTGTCATACATGGACTGAATCTCGCTGTCCATAGCCTCTTTCCATTTAGCAGATTCGGGGCCTGCCATGGCTTCCCTATAGCTGTTAGGTTCATCCAAATTTACCAGTATACTATCACTGATAAATGTATCACCTTCCGCAGTAATATGGAAACCATAGTAATGCTCAGGTGCATTCCTAACTCTAGTGGAATGCCTCAGAGGTACAGACCTGTCAGTTGGTTCAACAAGAGTTTCCTCCTCAGTTTGATTGCTAGGGTTTGAGGTTCCTTCACCACTTGACTCTTGAAGCTCTTCAAGGTCAATTTGCCTCCCACTGTTTCCTTGGCTTATAAATTCTCTCTCCCGAAAGACTCATCTCCTTGCCACAAAGACCACATTCTCACTGGGTCTGTAGAAGAGGTAACCAAAGGATTTCTGTGGCTAGCCGATGAAAATACACCGCTCACTACGAGGTTCGAGCTTTTCCTGAGTCTCACGTCTCACGAAAGCCTCGCAACCCCAAATCTTGATGTGGTCTAAATTGGGAACTTTCCCAGTCCACATCTCGTGAGGTGTTTTGGAAACCTTCTTGGTAGGGACTAGATTAAGGATGTGGGCGGCAGTCTCTAAGGCATACTCCTAGAATGAGATTGGTAACAAAGCTCGACTCATCATGGAACGAACCATGTCCAACAAGGTTCGATTACGCCTCTCAGCCACACCATTAAGCCGTGGTGTTCTGGGAGGTGTCAGTTGTGAAACAATTCCACATTCCTTAAAATAGTCAAGGAACTCTGTACTAAGATACTCTCCTCCTTGATCGGATCGGAGAATCTTAATGTTCCTGCCCAGTTGATTCTCTACTTCCTGTTTAAACTCTTTGAACTTTTCAAAGGTTTCTGACTTATGCTTGATTAAGTAGACATAACCATATCTACTGTAATCATCAGTAAAAGTCACATAGAAGCGGTTAGCATCCCTTGTGGCGGTTCTGAAGGGTCCACACACATCTGTGTGTATGAGGTCCAACAAACCTTCACCCCTAGCACAAGTACCAGTGAAGGGTGACTTTGTCATTTTTCCAAGCAAACAAGACTCGCAACTATCATCTGACTTTAAGTCAAATGACTCCAAGACTACAGTCTTTTGGAGTTGGCCTATGCGCTTCTTGTTGACATGTCCAAGACGGCAGTGCCACTAGGATCCCTTATCCAAACTAGTGGAAGAATCGATATACAACACATTATTTCCTAAATTGTCTACAACCGACACAGTTTCATATACACCATCACAAGGTAATTCTTTAAAATAAAGAACATTATTATAAAAAGCATTAATACCACCACATTCATTATCAAATGAAAAAGTAAACCCTTGTTTGTACAAACCGTGAAAAGAAATAATATTTCTCGCCATTTCAGACGAGTAACAACACTTATTCAAATCTAACACTAACCCACTACTTAGCAACAAAGAATAAACTCCAATCTTGGTGACAGGTGAAGCTTTCTTATTCCCCATGATCAAGTTTATCTTTCCGTGCTCCACATCCTCACTTCTTCTTAGGCCCTGCAAATCAGAACATATATGAAGACCGCAAACTGTATCAAGAACCCAAGAAGTAGTATGTGATGAGTTATTAGACAATATAGTGTAAATACCTGCATGGGTAGGTTTGACCTTCCCATCCTTAACATCTTGCAGGTACTTGGGTCAGTTTCGTTTCCAGTGCCCCTTATCATGACAATAGAAGCATTCAGCTTCCTTTGGGTTGGAAGAAGGAGTGACAGAACCAACTTTGGTTCCACTGGAAGAGGAGCCATCAAGAGACTTTCCCTTGGTACCCTTCGAAGGGGTCTTCCTCTTCTTCCCTCTACTTTTCCCGATTTCCAGAACAGGGGCGGCGGTAGGAGTAGGAGTGGTAACAACCGATTTACCTTTAAGACCAGTTTCAGCGGTCTTCAAAAGCCCTTGAAGTTTTGTAAGTGTGACCTCCTCCTTGTTCATGTGATATGTCATTCGTAATTGATCATAACAAGTAGGTAAGGAGTGCATTATGATATCAATAGCCAACTCCTCGAGGAAGTTCACATTCAACTTGAGCAAACGGTCCACAAACCTTTGCATTTTCTGCATGTGGCCCGTGATGGGTTCACCATCCTTCATTCGGGTTGTTATCATGGAAGAGATGATTTCATACCTCTCTTGATGAGCACTTTGATGGTAGCGGTCCATCAGGTCCATGTGCATCTCAAAAGGGTAAAAGTCCTCATAGGACTTCTGGAGTTCAGCTTTCATTGTGGCCAACATGATACATGCCACCTTGGTAGCATCTCTCTCGTGTGCCCTAAAGTCAGCGATCTCCTCTGGAGTAGCAGTAGACTCATCAATTTCTTTCAGCTCCTTGTCGAGGACATATTCCTTGTCCTTGTAACGTGTGACCATCCTGATGTTCCTGATCCAATCATTAAAGTTTGAACCATCAAATATGACTCTCCCACAAAGGTTCATGAGAGAGAAGGAGCCGGTAGGGTTTGATCCAGAAGCAACATTGTTGGAAGACATCTGAAAAGAAGAAAGACAAGTTTAGATTAGATATAAAATCCTTAATAAGACACCCAAATGTAATATTAAGGCTAGGACCCAACACAATACTTTATAACTTGGAAGAGGGATGCCGTAATCCAAGCTATAAAATATTTCAAGGTAGGCGAATGACGATTCACCAATTTCCACCATGAAAAACAAAATAAATTATTAGGTTTTAATTGGATTGAAACTCCTAGATCTTTTGAGATTCATTGAACTTTTCAATGGCATGTTTAAATCTCGATTGTGCCCTCTCAAGTTTGTGACTGGGATGCCGAGGATCACAAACAAGGTGTGAATAACCATGCAAATTAACTTGGTACCCTTAATCTTTATCAGCTAATCGATGTGCCGGTTACCCACACGCTCTCCACCGATCTATGATAAATATTAAGTCGCCCTTTTCCACTCTTACAAGTCCATGTTAGTGTGTTGGTTACCCACACATGCTCCACCAACGACTTGGTAAGGTACAAAGTGTAATTTCATGGGTTAGCACCAATTTCATATTTTCCTAAAGTAACTAAGATTGGGAATTTATAAAAGGTTTAGTTACTTTATATTTATCATTATATTTTTAATGAGGATTATAGTCCTTGTCCTACCCGTTCGGCTAACGACCCTCCACCAGTCAAGGAAGCGGTGGGTGAGAGTGGACACCCATTAAGCTGCCATTTTATAGGCAACAACCTTATACCCCCTTATAGACCGGCTTCGTGAATGAGGCCTACTAACGGTAAGACTGACTTGATCTTATATATATATATATATATATACACACACACACACACACATATATATATATATATATATATATATATATATATATATATATATATATATATTATTAGCTTATAATAATATAAAGTATAAGGGTTGAATTTTAACTTTTAAAACTCTAGGGTTTTGGAATTAAAGTGTGTGTGAGACTTTACAAATTCCAAGACTTGAGGGCAAGTTTTGAAACTATTCAAGACTCTTCAATTTCATAACTTATGAGTTTAATGGTCTATTAAAATGAAGACTCTTCATTTTATGTAACCTATGGTTCTTAATTGACTCTTTAAAGAAGTGACTTTTGGTAATCCATAACTTGAGGACAAATTATGGACTCCATCAATAGGCATAAAGATCAAGAATTACACTAACAAACAATTTGCAAATAATTCCTATGATCTACTAAAACTCATAAGTATGAACATTCATATCAACAATATCAAGAATCATATAAACACATATAAAACTTGAAATTTTGATAATAACCGTTGTAAATGGATTAGCATAATCATTACCACATCAAAAAACAGGTTTTACAAGTCCAAAACAGTTTAGGGTAATGATTCTAGTCTATTTCCAGCAGCAAAACTTGATATTCTGCACACAGGGGCTCCTACTCACTGAGTGCAAGAACCTACTCGACGAGTAGGATTCATTTTCACTTGGACTCGTCGAGTCCCCCCATGGACTCGGCTAGTTCACTGAACAGTGAGCAGAAAAATCAATTTTTTAAGCAGTTTGCATCAAATATCAAGAAAACAAGCCTAAGCTCTGATACCACTGATGGGTTTTGAGCATTCTAACACTCCTATGGTGTACATGCAACCCTAGAAACCTTGGATCTATGTTTTCTCTAATATTCATGCAAATTTGAATTCCAAGGTTCTCAACCTAACTAGCATGTTATGGGGTACATGTATTATAAAACTTAAGTAGAATAACATTCCTTTTCTTGTGGTTGATTACTTGGAGTCTTGAGAGCCTAGCACCAATAATGTGGATGCCTCAAGTGGAATCACAAATCACCAAAACACCTTGGAAGACTTGAGAGAATAATATGCACCAAGTAGAAATCGGCCCACAGTTTGAACTCACACACTAGTGCCATTTCATGTGCCAAAGACCTCTTTATATAGTATGGAGGATTAGGGTTACATTCATGTAAACCCTAATACCCATGACCTTTAATTTCCATAGGATCCATGGGTTAAAAACTCCATGGACTATCCATGCAAGCTTAGCCCATCCTAAATGAACTTGGCCCATTATATATATATATATATATATATATATATATATATATATATATATATATATATATAAGAGTCCATATTTAATTAGTTCCATTTGATCACTAAATTAATTCTAAATTAATTCTTGATCAATACTAATTAAATAATATGATTTCATATTAATATATTATAACTTATATTATTCTCAAAAGATTATCCATATAAATTGTTTCGGTGAAGTGCAACCCAAATGGACCATGCCGGGTCGGGTCAAGTACATACCAAATATAGTTACGGACTTAGACACCTTATCCAACAAAACACCCCCTCCACTTCCTATTCTTGAGTCACCCAAGAAACCAGCACCTTCCCCATGGCAAAATTTGACAATTTTAACCTAAAGAGCTCCCTTGTCATTAAAAAACTGCCACTTCCATTTGAAAAGAAGGCCTAGGTTAAAAGCATCCAAACTACCAACCCCAAGACCTCCTTCAGCATATGAGTTCAAAATCAAATTCCAATTAACCCAATGAATACGATTTTGACCTTCATCAACACCCCAAAAAACCGAGCCCTCAAGGCCACTAGAGAGTGACAAACAGTGGCAGGAAGACGAAACAAAGAGAAAAAGTAAATACTCAAACTCCCTAGAACCAATTTAATAAGGGTCAGACGACCTCCAATGGACAACAACTTGACTTTCCAAGAAGATAACTGAAAGAACCCCTTTCTAAACTTTCATATTTCTGAAAGACCCAAACTTTCATACTTGACAATATAGTTACTCCAAAACATGCTACATGCATATTTATAAAACAATATCTTACATTGATAAAGTGATTACAAAAGATTGGATACAAACCTACTATGTTTTAATATTTTACATAACTACCCAGCATATTGTAAATTTATACAAACATAAACCAAAATACAAAAGTAATATTACAACTATTCTAAACCTTCCAACATTATATGACTATACTGGTTACTTATTCCCTGCAAATTTGTTAAACATTGAGAGGGTAAGCGGTGACTCTTAGTGAGTTCAATAATAGATACAATATAACGTTATGCCATATATATACTTCAATATGACAGAGGCAAAGAGGAACAAGGAACAACAAAGTCATAATGCGAGAAGCTTTCCATATCAATCAATGAGACATAACAATTTCCATACTTGATATACAATCAATAAAGTTTCAGCACAAGTGGCACAGAAAATAATCAGGAATATCATTTTGCTAGAATATTCAGGCTTTCAGCCTTATCTTAGCATACTGCCGAAGCCAAAGTGATGCCTATGTCATACACTTCATGGTCAACGGTACATAACAATACCCAAGTGATGCCAATGTCATACACTTCGTGGTCAGAGGTATAGCCTTGCTATAAAAATAGCAGAAATAATAACACGAGATGATAACATGGAAAAGCACATAGCACATATAACACATAACATATAATTGTTCCAATATATTAAACTCACCGTGAAATAACCAGGGGTTAAAATAGTAATTTCGGCAGCACTTCGTTACTATAATTAGCTTTCTTCGTTGAAACCGGGCCCTGCGAGGGTTGGGCTTCGAAACCGAAAAGATAAAATTTTCGGGATTCTCGGGAATTTCGGGGCATGTTTCGGGCATTGGAATTAATCCCGGGGCTTCGGGGGAAGTGGAAGTAAAAGAAATATAAGTTTAGGGGTGAATTTTTGCCAATTTTCTAACATTTACCCGGGAGGTCTCGCACCCCTTATATAGGTGCGAGCCTCGGATTCGAAGCAAGAGGGAAGGGCCAGGTTGCAGCGAAGCTCGGACACGCGGCAGAAGGGCGAGGCTCGGATGCGAGGGTCGGAACAGGTGTGCGCTTCGGATTGGTCGGATGACGCAGCTACTTCCTCGGTCGAATCAGGAAGCGACACGCGGGTCGGGCACGAGGGATGCATGCGAGGATCACACGATCGAATTCGGACACCTGTGCGACACGCGTCGCTTCTCGGACGCACCATGCAGCCGCTTCGGATACGTGGCCAGCTCAGAGCGAGGGTGACGTGGCTGGCACTATTCATGCGAAAATTCTCGAAAATTGTGCCCGATCTTGTAAAATCCATAACTTTCTCATACAGGCTCCGTTTTTGACGTTCTTTATATGCACGCGTAGGGAAAATTATGCTCTACAACTTTCGTTTTGACTTCGTCGGAAAATTTTGACTTTATTTTAATATTATTATTTTTAACACACCGGGACTGGTTATCCGTTAAAAATTCATAACTTCTTCATCCGACGTCCGTTTTCGTCAGACTTTTTACCGTTGTACTGCTAATGACGAGACCTTAGATTCTCGTTTAGTTTGTGTCGGATAAAAATCACTCGATCTAAAATTCGAGTTTTTAGCTGTCTACTGCTAAGCTGAAACTTAAAAAAATCATAACTTCCTTATACGAAGTCAGATTTTGGCGTTCTTTTTATGAAAATTCTCGGTTTAACAAATACTACGACTTTCATTTAGATCACCAAGGATAAAAAGTAGTTTATCAAACTCACTTTTTACGTCATTCGGTGCCGTGTCGGTTTTGTCGCGGATATTCGATTGGTCATAACTTCTTCGTTATAACTTGGATTTCGACGAGGTTTTCGCCTAAATGTTTCTAACGAGATTATTTACAACTTAAAATTTTACTTATTTCAAATTTTATATTTTCACTAAATTTCACTATTTGGCTTTTAATTGGAATCTCATAAGACTTCCAATATTTTATGAGTGATTCTAAACATAGTTTTACTTCATTTATAGTAAAAACTATCTGTTAGAACTCAACACTCAATTTCACATAATATTTCATAATATTATTAACTTTTCAAATTACATAACACGATTTCAAAACGTGTATGTTACAAATACCTCCTCCTTTTAAGGATTTCGTCCCCGAAATCACAACG